GAATATGGTCCAAGATACACACAAAATAAGCTAAATTCTGAACTGCACTTGCTGACCTCATAACTCTTCAGCAGTTGAAATGTGGGTTACAAAGCCAATTTCCATAAAGGACATGTTCAGTTAACAGTGGGAGACTGTGCTGACTCGAGCTGTGTGAGCACGCTACTGAGATATTTCCCACATAATCTACATTCATTCCATACTTTTTTGGAAGTGCTCCTCAGAAGATGGTGTCAAGGGTGCAAATCCTATAGATCAGAAAGATATGTGACCCGTCAGAAAGCACAGAGCTTTTTTAACTCATTATTCTGGTGCTCTGAGAAGCCACAAACACCATGCAGGGTTTTTCTCACCCCCCCTACCCTCCAAGGCTGCAGGGTGGCAGCTTGCTTAGGGTACAGGCAGCCCATCTGGGGACATATGCACCCCCCTCTGTAGTGTTTGAAGCAGGACATGTTATACAAGGACACAGTGAAAATCCCAAATTTTGTCTATGGATAGGTCCCAGCATAAAAAGCTATATTCATTCATTTATTCCTTTTGCATACTGCTTGAGCAACAGTGAGCTTTTTAAAGCAGCAACTACCATTGTTACGAAATTGTACTATTTTAATAATATAACAAACTACCTGATAGAAAATTGGAATGTACACCAGAGTTGTTACCCTGTGGCTAAATGTCTCACCCTTACTTAATCTTCAAAGACTCCAGACCTGCACAGACAGAGACATACACTACAGGACTTTAAACACTGTAGGGGAATTTCTGGTGAAATTATGCACATACAGATATGCAAATATGTAGGATTTGTAAAAGGAAGAGTCTAATGTCACCAGTAATCTCTCAAGCCCGTAGAGTCATACATGCAATTGAAGAAAACCCTTGACTTCCCACTCCACACGGGAAATTGGATGAATCACATGCTCAAATTAGGTCTGGCACCACAACATTCCTGGGGCCATATTCTACCCATCCTATTTCTGTTCAGTGGCCACAAACTCAACAAGCTTTTGAAATCAGTGTGATATTCATAAAATATGCTTCTGCATCATGTGGGTAAGGGGAGTTACCTCTGCTCCCCAGGTATAACTGATTGCTCACGTAAATATTTACAGCAACAAGGTTAGAGATCACCTTTTAAAATTCAGTCTCTGGTACTTGCAAATGTTGTAGGAGTGCTAATACCAAAACCAGAAGTGTACAACTTGTCTTGAAACGTTTATTCAGCTAAATAATCATTTCAGTTTGAATAATTTTAAAGGAGCTGAGCCAGCAGTCTGTTTCAAACAAAGAATATTGACAGGAATGAGCGCAAACACTGGTTTATGCTCAATTTAAGGCAATAACTAAAAGAAACATACAGCCCATTGTCAAATGGATATAAACAAAGAAGGAATACGTGACAGGAGAGAGAGGCCTCAAAGGCTATTTTACTACTAGAATTAGAATAGAGATTAGTGGTCAAAACATCAGCAGCATGTCCAAAACTGGCATGGATGGGTTCCCAACACAAAACACCCTGCACAGACCCAGTCTTTGGGAACACGACTCAGGCTGCACCCACACAAACATTTGCTGTTGCAGTTTGTAGAAGGATAGACACAGGTCAGATGAAGATTGCATTGCTAAAGGCTTTGCTGGGATGTCCTCAGCTGCAGCCCTGATAGACACAGCATATGAAAATCTGATTAAGAAACGACCTGACCTCCATAAAGCAAAGAAACTGTGGAGATGAGGAACGTAATGAAGTGTGCAGCATTCAACACGACAAAGACATGGGTTTGAATGTCTGTTTGTAAATAATGCGAACTAGACCAGAAAATATAAGAACTGCAGAGTCACACAAGCCTTCGGCAAAGTTTTCAGCGGTATAGCTGAGAAGCTGAAACACCATATAGAACCAGCAATGCCCCTTCTGCTGCTGCACTACCACACTACGCTTTAGATGTTGTGTATGGTTATTCTGTTCTCCGGGCTGGCACTTTAAGATCCAGGATGCCTTCCCTGCATTTCAGATTTTCAAATCCCCGTTCCAGCAGTCCCTGCTGTACTTTCAGATGGCGCTGAAATTTCACAGTCGCTATTTCCTTGGTGACACACAAAACTACCGAGAGAATCCATTTAGGAGGGAACTGGAGAGGTAACCAGCTGGAAACCCATGATGAAGGAAAGACTACTTGTTACCTCCCCGAGGGAGACAGAGGAGAGTAAAAGTTAATGGAAGGATAATCAGGAACTCTTCAGGGATATCAGTTAATAGGCCAGGAGCATATATAACTGAGACTTGTTTGCATATCAAGAGACTACAGGAGAAGGTGTGACAGCCAAATGCAGCTTATGAAAATATGGCTATCTGTAAAGCCGATAGCTTCTCCGCATGTGAAAACACAATCCAAACGCTCAACTTGGCAAGTGAAGGCTAAATAACATCAACGTGTCTGTTTTGGGCAGCCTGTACAGTCAAATCGCTCCTTATGACATTTACAGTGTTTTCAGCAGACATGCCTGGGACTCAGAGAAACAAGCTGTTTTTTTAGGGATTTCAAGGATCCCCGCTTAAAATATTCACAAAAATGAAATACTCAAGCTTTGAAAGAACATGGTTGACTTGGGTGCTTTTTAATGGTCTGTGAAGAAAAAAAACCCAACAATTCAGATTGCTCAAAACCACCACGTTCTGCTACAAGAGGAGAACAAGATGTAATTCAGCTTTAGACAGAGCTCTGGGTATTTAAGTTCTTCAAAGAGTTCTAGCAGATCAAGCCACAGAGAAGCTGCAGTGTCCAAAAGCACAGCTGTAATGGTCATTTTCATACCCTACAAATACCAAATGCAGCATGTGTCTACGGCTGTGTCACCTCACCTGGAGACCTGCCCATGCCTCAGCTGGGCCAGGAGGCCCTGTCAATATCGCATGGGAGCCTGTTTGGGAAATACAAGGAGTTTGCCCATATCTGAATTCCTCCCATACTGTAATAAGCATTTTGTTCACGTGTTATCTTGTAAATAGAGATATTTGTGAAGATCCTCCCCTTTCACACCAATACTCCAATTCACTTCCATTCTGCACATTTACTAATCCCCCCAGCTGGTCCCTGCACCACACTTTGGCCAGATCTGTGTCCTGACCTTCCTGCCAAGGCCAGCACAAAACTCCCCTTCCTGCTCTGGACTGGCTTGCAATACCGTTACAGCCTATTAAACAGTATGAAAAGGAAGGACTTACTAAAAGCCTTTCACTGGGCTAAGCAATCAAACGCAGGATTTTATTATTAGAATCTGTTTTGTCGAAAAGGAGGATATTGGCCAAGATTCTCTGAGTCTGTTTTGTGATCGTTTCAGAGAAATCTTTCACGTTGGCCAAATCCAGAAATGTGTGGGAAATTAAGTTATTTCGCCCATTATGTATCTTTTACCATACTAACGACCAATATTCTTCTTTATTGTCCAGGGCATTTTAAAGTGCGTGCCCATCATTCATAAATATATAATTGCTTTCGTGTTTATAATTTCTATTAACATAGTGAGTATTTAGATGGCTACCACATAAGTCCTGGGGAGAAAAAAAAGTTCCATCTTATACATGGCACAATTCACCAACATCTTCCAGGACTGTAGTCCATTTTACCAGCCGAGTCATTTCTCAGTGGGAACTCAATTCTGAAATTCCTAAACCCTCTACTTTTAGAACATCCCTTTTTCATGTTACATCAGCTCTTCATTCCGCTTCACTGCCACACCGCACACCATGAGAAGCCGGAGTCAAGAGGTTACTCAAGAGCTCAGTCTGTCATCACTTAATGCCCATTTCTACAAAAGCTTCCAGGAGCTTCCAATTTCCCAACAACCTTCCCAGAAGCAAAGGTTTTGTTCCAGCACCATGTCCCCATTCTTTCTAGAATCCTATGATTTTTATTTTTTTTTCTCTCCCTCACATCTGCAAATCTTTGGTAATTTTCACCCTCTCTTGGCAGTTCAATGACTTTTGATTTGCAAGTGAGTTCAGGCAGGAATTCTCCCAGATGAGCAGTTTCACTATCTCCGTGTAGTTTGCTATCGCATCGGTACTGGCTCTCTTCCAGCCAGGAGGCTTAGAAGAATCCTGAAGAGGTCTTTGTGTTCAGCCCCAGCCTTCTGCTGAGCTGTGGGCACTATCTCTAAAGCAAGTCTATGAAAATGACATCATTGTGTGGCAAACATTTTCTTCCTACAATAAATCTAGGTGGCACTCAAAGTCAAACCCAAGGTTTTTCAAATTGTCAGCATCTTGAGCTCAGTCTTGCAGCTAAACACCACGTTGTGCTCTTTCTACTTCATGTCTCACACATCAGCAACAACACAAACCTGGCGATCAAACCTGAGCTGGCGTTTTTCGCGATGATTCACAAAGCTGATTAAAATACAATTGCTCTCCCAGATCTGGGCTGGCTCAAAACGGCAGCAAACGTATCAAAGAGGTGTCTCTTAATTCCCCACCCTTTGTTCCGAAAATTAAACGCACGCAGAGAAGAGACAGATGCAGTAATGAAGTGTGCATTTTACCCTCGTTTGTAACCGGTCCAACTCTTAACTAATGGGGCTTAATGTCGTTGTACATTATGATTTCAGATGGGTGTCTTTACTCAGGCTGAGTTATGCACTCCGTGAGGAGCAGTAACAAAGCCGCACACTCACCAACCCGAGCACTGAGGAATAAGGCCAGAGTGAGACTCTCTAAGTTAAAATGACATTTAGTAGCATAACAGCCACATAACCTCGAGATACAGGCTCTTAACCCATAGCAGGCTTATTTCTAATGCTGTGTTTGTCACAGGTGACACACAGTTACGTGCTCCCCAGACAGCACTGACACACAATAGAGAAACCTTCAGTCTCTGAAGGCAAAAATATTCGTCCTTGTCACCCAACCCTGGCAACCCCAGCCCAGAGTCTGTTGTAATCACACCAGCACAGCAAACCCAGGGGGAGGGAAATTAAAGCGGCAAAGAGGTATCACCTACCTTTTGAATCAATTTATCTTAGGGCATGCCTGTAGTCCTCCTCTGCGAGACGCCGCCGCTGTGCACTGGCAACGCCGCTAAAGCAGTCAACAAATATCAACCTCTAAAACGCCAGCCAGCCAGGCTTCTCTGTATGAACCTTGGATGTGACTCAGCGTGGGAATACATCTTCAAAAGCAAGAGTTTCAGACAGCATTCTCTTAAAAAAAAAAAAAAAAAAAAATCAGACAAAAGCTAAATCTCTAGGTCTACTTCAAAAAGTTTACTTTTTAAAAATTAACAAAGCTGTTTCAGGTTTTGTTACCACCCTCTTTTATCCTGTAAAAGCAAAAACCCATGAGCAAACTGATTCAGATGTAATACTTTTTGAGAGACTCGACACTCTTCCAAACAGTTCACTTCAAATCGTTCTTCCTTCTTCCTAGACAGCATTCTCTTAAAAAAAAAAAAAAAAAAACCCACACCAAAATCTTCCAAATTACTCACTTCAAATCGTTCTTCCTTCTTCCTTTTGTTTTTGTTTTTAATCGCAGCAGAAAGGAGCTTTTTGGGGCTACTATTTTAAAAGTCTGGGCCTAGAAGGAGTTCTGCCAAGTCCTAGCAAAACACAATGTAATTTTAAAATTACAGTCTGACAAACTGCTGCCTTGAGAGAGTGATCATCTTCTAAATGACTGGGCAGCCTGTCTCAAATCACTGCTTTACAGGAGCTGGAGAAGGGGCTGCAAGAATGCGTAGCGGTCACTGCTCTAACTCTGTACTGTCCAAGACATCCGAACATCACCACGTTGCTCATGAAAATCCCAGGGAATTGCTCTGCACCATCCTCACTAAGCCTGAATTTGGTTACTGTGCTGAAACGTCATGAGGGTACCAACGCAAGTCTGTTCGCGCCTTGTTACAACTCCAGATTGATACCACACAGCTCCATCAAACAACAATAAATCATGTCTCGCAGATACGATTAAATTCCTTTGCGTTATTTAAGTGTGAGCTGGACTGAGCACTAGAGAATACTACACAGAGACTGGGCACACAGGGAACAGCAGTGATCACTTAAATGTGTCTGATGCTCTCGACAACAACCCCGATTCAAGCTGGAGGTGGAACTGAAAAAGCAGTGATGGATGATCTTTGGGTCTCACCAGAGATGGGAGAATCATCTATTTTCATTCCTCCAGACTTCTCCCTGCAGTTTTCAGACCTGTCAACAACAAAGCACTGCCTGGCAGGAGCAAAGCAGTCCAGGATAACCCTGCGACAAAGCTCTTCCAAATACACAGGAGCGATGGACAATGGCACCTCCACTATCTATCCCACTCTGGAATCCCACTCAGCACTTCCTGGACATGAAGAGACATGCAGGGAGGATTTGGGAAGCCATCAAAGGGCAGAGAAGACCAAGCAGCACGTGCCCTTTGCTCTCCACAGCCACACTGCAGGTACCAAGACGATGCACTGCACAGGGGAGGAAGACAAAGGGCCAGGAAGCAGCTGGCTGAAACTGAACCCAAAACTTCAGAGACGTGACGCTACTCAGCAAAGAACAGTGGTTTGGAGAAAGTTCCAGCCACAATGCTGTCTTTTAGCTCCAAAGGAACTCGTGCCCTGCAGTCCTCCCTCCTGGGCCCGGGCTGAGAGGACAGCGTGTGACGCGCTAGCCCCATTGCTGACAGCCTTGCTGGCAGGCAATGAACAGCTTTTTGTTGCTGGATATGAACCCATGTCCTTCAGCTGACTTCCCAGAGGCCATCAGACTTTGAACCCACGTGCCACCACGTCCCTACGGCCAAGGCCACTGCAAACCATCCACAGTGCCACCTCCTGAGGCGCAGGGCCCCAGAGAACCGACACCAGCAGGGCAACCTGGGGCCACCTGCTCCACAGCTGCTGCTTCCAAACAAGCAGGGCAAGAGCAAGAAAAATATGAGTTACCTGGTGGTCACTCAGTCATGGAACAAGCTGATTTATCCAGGGTGGAATTCACCCCTGAATTTATCCCATGGGAGAAAGTTAAATTCACTTTTAAGAGTTTACAGACTTGAAAAAAAAATCAAACAGCTTGACAGACTGCAGCCCAAAGCAGGCATGTGTCCCTGTCTCCCAGCTTCAGCAATCTCCAGAGCTCTACTTGCTTCTGGCTGTGACCTAAGAGCATTAATGCTGTACAAGATTTATGTCTAAAGCATATTAGTAACACTTTTTAATGATGAAGGCGGCATTTTTAGCAAACAGTAAATTCTGCAGAAGCCCTGTTTGGCAGAGTTATCAATAATCCTATTAATGACAAGGTGCAATTTACAGCAAACTGGCAGTGGAAAGGAGATACAGGACTTACGTGAAACAAAAAGATAATACAATATTATCCCATTGACTGTGCTTTCTCTTAATTGCCTTGTTATGTACGCTCGGGGCACACAATCTATCACGGATGAAGTTGTTTGTTCATAAAGCAGCACGCAAGAGGTTTTTAATCCAAGATCCCTCTAGCTGCATTTCAGGATTTATTTCAAAGTTGTCTTTAATTTTTCTATTTTGTGTAAGTTTATCCTAATATTAGGAAGCACTCCTCTGAAAAGGAATTGCTGTGCTCAATTGTGCTACTGGTAGGGGATTATGTGACTGCTTACTAAGGCTTTACTCAGTAAGATGGGCACAAAGAGACATCATTTGCAAAACAGACTGCAGATCTCCTGTCACTCGTCCCTGTCCCCAGGTTTGCAGAAGGGCTGCCAGCCCTCAGGACACAATCCAAGTAACAGTCATTCGTGCGTGTCCAAGTGACCCACGTTCAACGGGCCAGGTTCAGTGACGTATTATAACCACGGCAACAAGAATACCCTTTGCACAACTATGAAGCAACTCTACCAAGCTAAGCATCAAAATTTTAATGGAACAAGCAAACTTTACCCCTAAGAATGTATCTATCCTCTTAACACATGAAAAAAAACACACTAGAAACTTTTCCAGATTGCGGAAAAATGCATTTGAGGCTGTAAAATTATTTAAATGATTTGTTTTCTTTTCAACATTAACTCATCTTCAGGTGTCCGTGTGGGAGGGCAGACAGATGGTTACTCAGCTGAGGAACTTGAGGCTGTGCTGTCTTTGTGTAATGGTAACAACTAGCAAATCTGGAAAGAAAATGGGCTTCAGACCAGGCCAAAGTCCAAATACAGGAGAAGAGGCTGTGGAAACATTGTCTAAGGGAACCGCTCAGATCTAGCTTTTTTGTGGTTTTGCTTCAGCTTAGATTCCAAAGACTCTCACAGAAGGATTTGGTCGTTACGCCATGAACAGCTAAAAAGCCCAAGGTGCACATTTTTATACCATATATAGTGCTAAGAATGTAAGCTACGCTGGGAATGAAAATGATGATGAATGAATTTATTTTATTTGTAGTTTTAATTATCGGGTAAATTCCATTTACCACCTAGAATGCAAAAGTGTTTTATTACAATAATATGCCTCCAGCACGAAGCCAAGACAGAGATTCCAAGCAAGGGGGAGGGGGCATTAAATCGTGCTGGCTGGTGTTGAAAGCACTTGACATTTCTCCATTTCATTTCCTAGGTGCAATATCATAAATAAGCTCAATAAACTGTTGCTTACAGCCCTGGCCAATTTGAAACCTTACCTGATAGATTTATTTCAAGTATACCCTGTCCTCCAAAGCTGCTGGGAAACAACAACTTATCACTGCCAACCTGTTATTTCTAGACCCTACGTTGTCCGTAGCACCAGTGAAGCCATTTCCCGTGCCTGCTTGCCGAGCTGCTGACAGTGACTGGAGCTGATGGTTGCCTGCACTCATTGCTGAAGATGCAGCAGATCATCCGAGTGACATTTAGCTGTCCTACGTCACTCACACTGCCAAAAATGGAGACCACAAAAATACAGAAATAGATTCCGATTTTTTTTTTTTCCAATTCCTATTCCACAGTTCAGGAGAACTAGAGAATTCTTCCTTGGTTAGGATAACAACATTGGCCAATCTTGTTCTGTAGCTCTACTTGCATAGCAACCAAGTTGATCTGCACCAGAATAATTCAAAGTTTTTCAGAACTTTCTCTTATAAAAGCCATCAACTTGGCATTAGCTGGCTCTGGCAAACACAGAGCAAAAATCAGCTGAGAGTGTATCTCCAGGTGTGTGCTTGTTAAAATACACACACATGGCTGGCATCCTCCATGCAGCTGACTGATATTAGGAGGCCTGGCACTTGGACTTTCCGATTTGTGGAGAGACCTACCTTAAAACAAACTGCAAATGAGACAGTCACGGTCTGCTCTATTAGTTCAGGTAACACGGTGAAATTAGTGAAATCCATTCAATCCTGAGATGTGATGCCTTAGTGACAAGCAGTGCAGTTGCTGCTGATGCAAGCCGGGAGCTCACACCACAAGAAGCAGCATTTGCCACGTACATCTATCTTTGGGTTCTCCGACTCACCCTCACACTGTTACACTGCTCTGGCTGATATTTCCACTTGCAAAAAATCAAACCTTACCCTGTTCATCCCCTGACAAGGCCATTTGCCACTCACCACCCTCTGCGTGCCCACAGTCCAGCGGTAGCTTTTCGCTCTCACACATTCAGTGCAGCAGTTTGGCCTCTGATCCCAGCTGGAGCTGCCGGGCAGAGGGAGAGAGTCCAAGAGATTTCCACATTATCATGGCTCTCCATGAATGACTTCAAAGGAGCACACAGATCCTATCTTCAGGAGATTAGCCTCAAGTGTACCGCCTGCGTAGGCAAGCTTGTTCCAGTCTTTCATCCTGGAGCTTGCAGGATCTTCATACAGCAGAGAAAATCCAAGACCACGTTTGCCAAAGCCTCCTACACAGGGTCTGCAGGACGGTCATTTCCAGCTGCCAGAGCTATAGGAGAGATCGGCACAACACTTCCAGCCTCTCCCATAGGACAGAGAGGTGTTTATTCCAAGGCACACAGCAACCACCATTGTTTTGGTTAATAAGTATTCAAATCTTGTCCTGTTTTGAGTTCCAGAATTACTTTTACTAGTCGGTTTACACAACATACATAATTACATTTCCATGAAT